AAAAAACTTATACATAAAACAATGCACAAAACTGTATAAATGTTTATACTGTATATATATTATACATTATACAACCAATTTCAAATGTATAATTGTTTACCTTGTATGTATAGTTAAATAGTTCTATTCTATACACTTAACTTTGGATATTAACATAGTGACTATATAAAACTGTATAAACAAACAGTTATAAGACATGAATCAACACATAAAATATAAGAAAAATATAAAATTGTAACATATACCAAAATAATGATTATACAAATACCTCATCATGCTCCAATAAGCCAGAAACAACGACTTCCTTTCTTTTTGCTTTCTCTTCTGTATAATTAGTTGTTTTTTCTTTCCTTTTTTTACTTGACCCAGCAACAGACTGATCCTTCTTACCTCCCTCCGCAATTTTGATGTTGGATTGCTTCGATTTTGCACTCATTCCCTCCAATCTGATTGGGTTATTTTTCAATTTGGATTTGATCTCTTACATTGTGTTGGATTTGGACATTGAACCTGAAACCTCCCCAAAATCCTGAGTTAAACCCAAGCAAAAAGATGGGCGTTCAACACTATTTTCGACATGCAAGGGTATACCTCTTGTGAATCTTTTAGATGGAGATTAGGCATCCATTGTTTGAAGGAAAACTCTGTATGGATTATGAACTGATGTGAAAAATAGCTTGAAAAAACTGGAAAAAAATAGACAAAAATTTAAAGTAATCGATTGAGATAAGTTTTGGCGGTACCTGAAATTTTTGAAGGGATTTTGAAACCGCGATTGAGAACGTGCTGGTGGAGATTTGAAATTTCAAACTAATTTTGGGGAGACGATTTGAGAGAAATTGAAGGAAATAAGAGATATAAACTAGAAGAAGATATTGTATAAAGGAAGAGAATAACGTCAACTTTTTTTTTTTTACTTATACAAATCGGTGGAGTCCATTAATAGCAAGCTGACCGAGACTTTGCTCCTTAAAGGAAATAAATGAAACGATAGCTACCGTATTTATTTTACATTAAAAGTTTGCCATTATGTACAATTATCCCTATTAATTTTAACTACTCATATTAATAGTATCAAATATCGTCTGCAGAATACTTTGCCAGTGGGTTAGCCATAAGTAATGGCCCATTACAATTGTATTTGACAAGGAAAGAAAAATAAAAAATAGATATGACGAGATGGTGGTTGTACAGAAATATAATTATAAATGATATTCGTAAAATTATTAGATTTGGGATTGTGACATATCTACAAGTTTGAATAATATTCATTTTAAAAACTAAAACGACTACCAAATATATATATAAAAGAAATAAAAATAACTCTTGTCAATTAAACGTAGTCATGTGAAACATGAAATATATGTCTTTTTCCTTTAGATTATTGTGTTGTGCTATTTTCTTTCCAGTAGTTGGTTGATCAAATCTAATATCATACGCAAACTAAAGCATCAATGACTAAACAAAATCGACAAAACTGTACAGGTTATATGCATGAAAAGTACAAGTTAGACGCAGAGGTGGATCTAATTAAAATTCTGAGTTTATTAAATTCTAAAAAATACAGTTGATGGGTTTCTGAAATTATTTATACATCACCGAATTTTACAAAAATCTCATAGTGTTAAGAGTTAATTACATTATATTCCTACTCTTTTTCAAATTACAAAAATCCCTTAAATTTAGTGAAATCCTGATACATCTTGAAACATCGCGTCTCAGTTTCATATACATCACTCAACGTCTCGATTTCGAATACATCTCGATACATGGTATGCGTCCTGATATATCACGTAAAGTGATGTATTCGAGAATATGAGAGACTAGAGATTTTTGTAATTTTTTCAAATGATAGGAAATTTTAGAGAATATGAAAAAATAAGTTGTGTATTTAGATAATTTTTCTCATACAATATTAAAAAAGTTGATCGTTAAACATAAATACAGAGTTCGGACTAAAGTTATTGGTAGATTTCCATCGAGCTCGCCAGCGAAGCTCTTTCACTCCGCCATCAGCACTTAGGTGTAATACATTACATATTTTTTTGTCATTTCAACATACTACAAAACACAACACGTAATTCTAATAGCTATATATAGCAAAGTGTTAAGCTCATACATATATGGCTAGTTGACATAAACTGGAAATGGCAATGTTTATTAGCAAACCAAATTTAATTTGGAAATTAGAAGTTCCAAAATCTTGCATTTCGAATGTACCAATTCGACGATCTGGAAATTATCAACCTTCTATTTGGGACTATAATCATATTCAATCACTGAAGAATCATTATCCAGTAACCATTTCTCTCTAGCAACTTATTTAACAACTTATATATTATCTGTATTAATAACATCTTATAATTTATTTTTTAACCCAAATCTATATATGTAGGACGAGAAATTCATGAGACGCCGCAATGAGCTGAAGATGGAAGTGAAGATTATGCTCAGTGATCGTAACATGAAGCAATTGGAGCAGTTGGAGATTATTGATGATTTGCAAAGGCTTGGATTGTCTCATCACTTTGAAGATGAAATATACAGTATTTTGAATAACTTAAGTGACAAAAATAGCAAAAGAGATCACTTGTATGCTAAAGCTCTTGAATTCAGGCTCTTGAGACAACATGGATTTAACATTATTTCACAAGGTCCGTTATCATATCTACTAGTTTTCTCCCTCTCTTCTATTCTATTTTTTTACTATATCCATCTAGTATCCTTCGGCCTGACTAATTCAAATTTACACTTTCATAAATAAAATCTACTAAAAGGAAAGCGTTTTTCTTGGATTATTTGCACCATATGCATGTTGCCTTACTTTTTTCATTCCAAGGCTCGAATCATATGATACAAATTAATAAAACCTTGTTCTGGTTGCAGAAATTTTTGATGGTTTCTATGACAATACAACTGGTTTTGGTGAAATTCATCATAATGAGGACACAAAGGGGATGTTATATTTGTATGAAGCTTCATTTCTTGCCATAGAAGGTGAAAAAGAATTGGAGTTAGCAAGAAATTTGACAGAAAAACACCTAAGAGAATATTTGGCTGATAAAAATAAAAATGATATGGATCAAAATTTGGTTGAATTGGTGCACCATGCCTTGGAGGTTCCACTGCATTGGAGGATGTTGAGATTAGAGACCAAATGGTTTATCAATTATTACAAGAAAAGACAAGACATGATGATCCCTTTCATGCTTGAACTTGCTACCCTTGACTTCAATATTGTTCAAGAAACTCACATTAAAGACCTAAAATATGTGGCAAGGTAATTAAACTCCATGAACCCAACTTCAATTCTAGTTTTTCATGCATTTTTTTAATATAATATTTTGACATATAGGTAATAATTTTCCATAGTTTTAAAATATTTGAATCGTAGTCAAATGTGAATTCTACTGACTCTGCATTATTATATAAAATCATTTCATGATCAAATTAATAGGTGGTGGAAGGAAACATGCTTAGCAGAGAATCTGCCATTTGCTAGAGATAGGTTGGTGGAGAATTTTTTTTGGACAATTGGAGTAAATTTTCTTCCTCAATATGGATATTTCAGAAGAATTGCCACAAAAGTTAATGCTCTAGTAACCACAATAGATGATGTCTATGATGTTTTTGGTACTCTGGATGAACTACAAATATTTACACATGCCATCCAAAGGTAATTAACAATGTCAAAATTTGTTAAAGCATAATTAATTTCTAGCTAATTTTAATTTCTTTCCATAAGAATTTTAGATGGAATATCAAAGAATTGGATAAACTCCCAGACAATATGAAGATGTGTTATTATGCGCTCGATAACTTTATTAACCAAGTCGCTGCTGATGCTTTTGAAGAGCAAGGCATTTTCATTTTACCATATCTAAGAAATGCGGTAACTTATCCCTTTTTTTTTCGAAAATAAGACAAGTTATTATCATGTGTATAAGTTAAACTCGATATGTAATATTACATTGTGAATTTAAATTTCAGTGGAGAGATTTGTGCAAATCATACCTGAGAGAAGCAAAGTGGTACCATAGCCAATATATCCCAAGTATGGAAGAATATATAGACAATGCCTGGATTTCAATATCAGCTCCAGTAATATTAGTACATGCATATTTCCTCGTTGCCAACCCTGTAAACAAGGAGGCATTGCATTACTTGGAGAATAATTACCATGAAATAATTCGTTGCTCAGCGTTGATTTTAAGGCTTGCCAATGATTTAGGAACATCATCGGTATAATTCAACATGTTATACAAGGTTATCTGCCTAATTATTTTTATTTACCAACACTAGTATTTCCATTGTGTAATGCAGGACGAGTTGAAAAGGGGTGATGTGCCAAAATCAATACAATGTTACATGAACGAAACACAAGCTTCAGAAGAAGAGGCTAGACAATACATCAGAGTTATAATTAGCCAAACATGGAAGAAATTGAACGAAGCTCATGACCTAGCAGCACACCCCTTCCCTAAGATATTTGTTACGTGTGCTATGAACCTAGCAAGAATGGCACAATGCATGTATCAGCATGGTGATGGCCATGGTGGTAATAACTCCACGACTAAAAATCACATCATGGCGTTGCTCTTTGAATCTGTTCCTCTAGGCTACAAACATTCTTCAGCAGACAAAGAGGACGACTCTATGTTAAACTATAGAGAGAAATTCATGATCTAGGGGTCAGTGAGTTGGGGAATCTTAGTAGCACAATTGGTTGGTTGGTTACCTGAACTTTCACCTTGTTTGTAAGGTTTTGATTCTCCACCTTGTAATTTCCTCCCCCATTTATAGAAAGGGCAGGGGGAGAGAGAGAAGGGTCAGTTGGTGCAGTATGCATAGTACACAATACATTATCAAAAAGAAAACTACAAAAAACTCTCCATCATCATAACTATATATGATTGGGCAGTTGATTCTCATGTTAAGCTATATAATCAACCACAGTGCCATTTTTCTTTTGGAATCTGATAGCCTCAAGTTACGCGTTTCTTTCTAAAAGGAAGGACAACTTTACATGGCTCCTTTATCAGAACTATGGAAAGTTTTAACGTTTGACAAATCTCATTTCAGAGTATGGTCCAGAAGGAAAATAACAGCTCACCAACAAATAACCTTTTCAAATTTTGAATCATAGTGGATGAAACGTTTTCCCACTATCCAAAGTGTTTTACATCATAGGATAGGAAACCTACCTATTGAACAAGTTCAAAGTGTCAATATCCATACAACAATAACGTCCAAAAATTTGGACGATGATCCTTTAATGAGAACAGATAAGGATGAATCGATACGGGACTTGTGCCATATTCTTGACTACTAGTGCAACTGATGTCCCAAGAATTACCTTTCTTTGTGTGCTGGGGACTGCTAAATCGTCACTGTGCATCACTTTTGGATGAACCTGGTTCTTTTGAGAATTTGCGCCATTGTTCTTTGTTCTTTTCAACTGAAGCAGAATTCTTAACAAACTCGGAGAGTCCTTGCCTCAAAGCCCCTAAATTTACCCCTTTGCCCACCAATATACTTGTGACACCCATTTTTGAAACCTGAAAAATACTGCTTTAGCTTACTATGTGTATCTCCAGGATTTGCATGTAACATTTATTTGATCTAGACTGACAAGTGATGTAATTATTTGAATCAACTGAATGCTTGCTACAATTGACAAAAAGTGATTTTACCGCCTGTATGTTCCGATTTTCATCATCAAAAAACAGCATCTCATTGTAGGGCACCGCAGTCTTTCGGTTGATTTTCTGAAAGTGTTCCGTCTTGTGTGTCCAACTGGAGAATATCTCCTGCAACACTAAGCCATTAGCATGATGACCTCACACAGTAAGCAGCATCAGCTAAAAATGAATATAGAGGGCCCAGTCATGGAAGTGAGCATTTTACACAGCTTGTTTGGATGGTTACCTATTTATTGTATCATATTATTATTTTAAATACAATATTTGTTTTGATTGTTACTTAAATTTTATTGTATCGTATTGTTAAATTTGTTGTTGCGTAACGATAAAAGGTTATCATTTTATGCAACAGTCAATTTGGTGTGATCAATTTGTTCTCATCTTGCCCTTATTACTTAACCACCTTATTTTACCCTTTATCCTAATTTATTTTTTTAATAATTCCATCCAACACCGTTTTTTTGTAATATTATAAGCATATTCTTTAGGTTGTTGGTGCAAGGAATTGTGAAATGACAGAAACAATACAATATATGAATTTCCTAAGAGGTCCCTACAGTGATGAGCTTTGTCTCGATACCTTTGAGCTATCATAATTCTTGAGGTTGCATAGCAGTGGCTAAAAGATGATACCTCAACGATTTTGTTGATATAGGTAAGTGGCCCACAAGTGGGTAAGTTGACAAGGAAAGTAGAGAGAATATCAATTGATACAGAGTGTTGATAATAGATAAAGATAAATGTTCTTTATGACCTACTAGTTTTAGACAACTACTGGTTTACCTGCTATGTTGCTCAAACTCTTTAAAAATATTGTCGCACCTGTGTCGGATTCTCCTAAATTCATTACTTTAGGAGTATCTTACATGCACCCATAGAGTCCGGGCAACATGTTTACGAGCCTAGATACTTGGGTGCCTCCTTTGGATTTAGTGCCAATCATAAGGTGGAAATGAATCCTATGCTTGTTGCTAGATAGTCATTTCGGCCAAGACACCTTAGTCTGAAATTTTTTTCCTTTTGATATGTGAGAAGAACATCACCTTGATTACTTCTCAGGAAAAAATAAATATTATAAGTGGAGCCAAGATGTTGATGCTGGTTCTAAAGCTAAAAAGGAAATTTACTTCTCCTTCGAGTTTATTCAGTGCCATAGCTGAATATGGACACGATTTCAAGTAAGTGGGTCAAGTGTGAAACAAAGAAGGTATTATTTGACTTAGCAATATTTAAAGAGGTTAAGTTTTTCCACCTACAGTGAAGTTAAATATTTAAGCTCTCCTAGTCCCAAAAGCCAAGATAAACTAAATTCGTCTCAAGTACATTCCCAAACCTATATAGGAGGTGATTAGAAAACCAACTAAACCACCAAGACGGAAAGACCAGCCAATTAGACTAGAATGTGGCGTGCAAATAATTTATGGACCACACAAATCTGAAGATGCCTTCTGAGTCTGGTTTGCCTAGAAAATGTTTAATAAACTAAGTTGGGCTGTAGAAATCAGCATAATTAGTAAATAATTTTACATATATGCAGGGTCAATCTGAAAAGTGAAATTGGAATGAAATAATTGCTATGTTGAAACCTTTCTAAAAAAATGGAACAAGAACTAAAAACTACCTAACAAAAAGCCCTGAATCAAACTGCAACAGTTTGTTAAAGTTATATAGAAGCCTTTTTGTTTTTACTATACATTTTTGGTCATGAAGGGCTTTTTAAAAGTATCATTCATTTCTATGTGACATTAAACTCTGCATCGTATGACATATGGATAACATAGTTATGGACCTATTTCTTGTGTTTCTCTACTCCAGCGTACTGTCCAACTCCTCAACCATGAACAAGCACGGTCGCAACAAAGTCAGCTACTAACAAGGAGGCACAGAGCTAAATGGGCAGCAGAATTAACTAATATCAATAAAATTTGCAGGTTACCATAGAATCAAAGGAACAATAAAACAAGATGCTGAGATTTCTATCATCTCACCTGGGCTACAAACATTGATTTTATCTCCAGTTTTTGAAGGAAGGCGTTTGCTATATCTGGAGTTGGTGATCTTGAGGCAATAGCAACATTCACTCCTTTGTCCTTGAAGGCATGCAAGATACCTTTGGCCTGAGGATACATAGATGGCTTTTCATTTTTGGAACGGCATTCACTGAAAGAATCAAAGTAGACACAAATGGTATTATGAGTAACCAAGAATCTACATACCAAGTTCAAGAAAATAATAAGCTCTCTTTTGTTTTGGATAGATAATAAGGGTGTGTTGAAAATATAGAAGCAGTCACTTACTGTTGTAGCAAGCATGTTAACTTGGAAACCAAATGAACGGCCTCCGGACAAAAACATAGAATTCAATCAATTCATACATTCTTGGCTTTAGAAAGTTATGACATGGTATGCTGGTTTCCTAAACTAGAGAGCAGAAAAGTAGGACATAACCTCTACTAAGTATTAGCTCAACCAAAATGCAAAGCATATCTATAGAAGCCATAACCAGCGACAAATCTAGAATTTAAATTTAATGGGTTCAACTTCTAAGACTTTTAGCATTGAACTCGTTGTAATATTAAATTATGTATTCAGGTCTAACATTTGTCAAGACTTTAGTACATTTACCATATATATTTTATATTCTGTCTTGAAAGTTATGTGTTCAGATGATCCCTTTGCGGAGAGGCTACATCCTCCCCTGACATAACCCTAGAGTGTTCACCCGAACCTAGTAGCTTTGATTAAACCCTGTCTATATGCTAAAAATTTCGCCAAATAAGTACATAGTAGTTGACTTGGTAACCAGTTGATCAAATGAACTTGTACTAGATTCCAGAAATCACTCATAGAGTTCAAAACTCAATCCTGCTACCAGAATAAGAAATCAACTACTCCATATCAATATTAAACCTACATATATATTGATATATAAGAAGTTCCAACACAGCGACAGGAAAAGCAAATCAATTACTCTGAAAAAGAAAAGAAGATTCAAAATTGGGCATCAGTTCAAATCCAGGAAAGAGAGAGAGAGAGATTGTGTGGTACCAATAAAAGGGCCAAAGGGTATAATCAAGATCGAAGACGACGAGACGAGGAAGAACTTGGAACAATCCCATTATCTCCATTGCTTCATTCTTAACCTTTTCATCTCCCATCTCTCCTTACCGCGTCCACGCTTTCCCTGCCGCCAACACCCCTCTTCTATTTTACTAGATAACTGAAGGCCCCAATATAATTACTTACAAATTTAATATCAATTCTTCATAGAGAAATTTTAAGTGTTTACTATTATTTTTTTATTATTTTTAAATAATAAATTTGTTGACAAAAATACTAGATCGAATTTGATCAATATTTTTTTCCCCAATCAAACTCTTTGCATAAATAAAATAATGTCATAATGTAGATTAATTCAAAAACAAATTTCAGGTATTGTCGGTATTAATTATGGGAATATTTGTTATTTTGGTAATACTCATGATTTAAAATTTAATTTTCTTTTTACTATTGCATAGTGATATAAATTTATAGATTTTAAAAATAATTTATTTTTATATTAAATTGTTATATGTTATTTTCTTAAATGCCTATATTTTTAATTTACTATTCACAAGTAAAAATTAGAATTAAGAAGCGCATCTCATTATTACATGAAGTTCAACGTGTAATTTATCTTAAATAATAACAAAAAAATTATTAGTAATTAGTATGACACACTATTTTCTTTATATTCTTTTCTCGTGTAGAATGATATAGAGTTAATAGCTTTTTCTAGAATTCATATCAAATTTATATTTTCTTCGTCTTAATTAATTTGTCTTACTTTTTAAAAAAATCTTTTATCTATTTAAAAATTATTTAAAATATGTATAAATCACAATAATTAGAAATTTACAATATTTAGATGACATATAAAAAAAATTAGGTTGACTCTCAAAATTCTAACAGTGACAAGTAAACGAAGACACACAAAATAACATATATTATTTGAAATGATGTAAAAATACTATAAATCACAATAATTAACAATTTTAGATATTTTAAAAACATATAATAAATTTGGTTAACTATCAAAATTTTATTAATATCTCATAAATTAGGACAGAGAAAGTAACATGAATTATTTGAAACTGACATAAAAAATTACTATAAATCACAATAATGAACAACTTAAATATTTAAGAGACATTATAAATCTGGATGATAAAAATTTGATGTGATGTGGTGCCTCTCTTTGGCTAGGATTGCCATTTATATTTTTTGTCAATTTTTCCCCTTAATTTGTTCTTTAAAAAAAAATCAGAAAAATAGGTACACTTAACTTTTCTCTTTCCTCATTATTACTACACTATTTATATCTTCCTAAGATTTCTCTTTCTCATTCTTTATTTTCCGGTTTTTTTTTCCAAAATATTTATGCTTTTAAAATTTTCTGAAAATAACTACACTTACATTTTCTCTTTCCTCACTCATTTATATTATACTACTATCTTTTATCTTTTCAAGATTCCTTCTTTTCTTTCTTTATTTAATTTAAAACATTTATAAATATTATTGTAATTAAAATATTACAAATGTAAATGTTATTTATATATATAAAATCAGATATAAGCAAAGTTATTTTTATCTCTCTTTTTTCTCCTTTTTTGAGTTAATAGCTTTTTCTAGAATTCATATCAAATTTATATTTTCTTCGTCTTAATTAATTTGTCTTACTTTTTAAAAAAATCTTTTATCTATTTAAAAATTATTTAAAATATGTATAAATCACAATAATTAGAAATTTACAATATTTAGATGACATATAAAAAAAATTAGGTTGACTCTCAAAATTCTAACAGTGACAAGTAAACGAAGACACACAAAATAACATATAAAATACTATAAATCACAATAATTAACAATTTAAGATATTTTTAAAGCATATAATAAATTTGGTTGACTTTCAAAATTCTATTAATGTCTCATAAATTTGGACAGAGAAAGTAACATGAATTATTTGAAACTGACATAAAAAATTACTATAAATCACAATAATGAACAACTTAAATATTTAAGAGACATTATAAATCTGGATGATAAAAATTTGATGTGATGTGGTGCCTCTCTTTGGCTAGGATTGCCATTTATATTTTTTGTCAATTTTTTCCCCTTAATTTGTTCTTTAAAAAAAAACAGAAAAATAGGTACACTTAACTTTTCTCTTTCCTCATTATTACTACACTATTTATATCTTCCTAAGATTTCTCTTTCTCATTCTTTATTTTCCGGTTTTTTTTTCCAAAATATTTATGCTTTTAAAATTTTCTGAAAATAACTACACTTACATTTTCTCTTTCCTCACTCATTTATATTATACTACTATCTTTTATCTTTTCAAGATTCCTTCTTTTCTTTCTTTATTTAATTTAAAACATTTATAAATATTATTGTAATTAAAATATTACAAATGTAAATGTTATTTATATATATAAAATCAGATATAAGCAAAGTTATTTTTATCTCTCTTTTTTCTCCTTTTTTGATTTTAATTTTTTATTTTACAATTAATTAATATAAGAAATTCATCTTTATAACTCACACCTCTACATATTTACTAGATAAGGGTGCCCGTGCAAGGCACGGGCAATATTAATTAGCCCTACGTAGCCTTTTTTGATTGGTTTGGTAGTATTTGAGAGCAAAAAAAAAGTGCTAAAAGAAAGAAATATTAATTAG